CTCACCTTTCTCCTGGGGAACGGCTGCTGAGCTTCCAGTTAGCCATGACCCCGGCTATCGATTCTGTGGGCATCTCCTCTTTAAAATACAGAAACTGATCCCATCCCGTTCTGTCCACGGGCCCCCTGACCTGGATGGCCATGGCTCCAGGAGCCCGTGTGAGCTGCACAAATCCTTCGGCCTCCAGTTTTCTCATCTGCGCAATGGGAACTGACCTCGTGCAGTCAAAAGAACCCTCCTGGGAGGTTCTCAGTGTGTGAACAGAGCTGGTGTTGGGAGCAGGACACTCCCTCAGGCCTTGGGAGGAAACGAGGTGGGGCGCCCTTGGCCCAGCACCAGAGGAGCCTCGGGCCTGAGTCTGCGTGCACGCAGGTGTTTCTGTTCCCTTGATGGAAGCTCTAAACCAACCGGCAGGTGTGCATTCTGACCCTAATGGGCCATCTTGTCTCCATGTGCTGGTTGGCGGTGCTCAGATCCTACGGCACACCACTCCTTGCTGTTAATAATTCAGCATCGGGGCAGTGACACTGACCGGGCACTGCTGGCCACCAGAGGGCTTTGCACTGTCATGAGCTGGCCTTCCTGTTTCCCCAACACTGGCTTCTCCGGCAGCCTGTGTCTGGGGCCCACAGCACCACGCTCAGCTCTGGATGTGAAGACATAACTGAGGGGCCAGGCCCCCCAGGAGAAGGGCAGAGGGGGCCTGTGGGGGGCCCGGGCCTCCATGGAGGCTGGCGGGAGGGGTCTTCCCAGGAGGGCGTCCAGGTGAGCGTGTCTTTACAGAGAGCTAGATTAGCCCACTCTGGGGAGCTCTGGTGGCCTAGTGATAAGAAGCTGTGCTGCAATCCCGAAGGCACGTGGTTCGAATCCACCAGCTGCTCCTCAGGAGCCCGATGGGCAGTCTCCTCCTGTGAGATGGGTTGCGTTTGAAGAGCTGCTGGACGGTAGGTTCGACTTGAAGGTACACAACAACAACAACAATAACAACATCAGCGAGGCAGGTGGAGTGGGCACGCGTGTCCTCGGGCAGGACACTGACACACACGCTCGGCTCCCCAGGTCCTCTGTCCCCCGCCAGCCCCTTCCTGCCCTCTCCCTGCCTGATGCTGCTCTTCAGTCTCCACTGGGGCCAGTTCTGAGGAGCGGGGACTCCCTCGTGTCCACCTGGCAGGGACGGCTTCTAGGATCAGCTGTTGACATCTAGGATGATGTTCACGCCAGTCCTGAGTTAGTGTCACTTGTGGGCAGGACTTGCTCTGGTTCCTGTAGTCACCGCTGCTGAGAATTTGCTGTTCCCTTCAGATGCCGCTTCTCCATGAGCTGCTGTCCTCTCCTGCCCTGTCCTCAGCATCTCGGCCACGCGCGAGCCCATGGTCACACACACTGCATCAGTCCATCTTGTTCTCTGACCCTCCACCTTTCCCAGCATGCTGTCTTTTCCCGAGGCCTGGTCCCCCCTGACAGCGTGCCTGAAGTATGTAGGATCGAGTGTCACCATTCTTTCCTCCAAGGAGCAGCCTGCTTGATCTTTCTTATTCATTGACCAACTTTTAAATGCACAGGAAACAACTGAAAATACCACGCTTTGGATGAGGCACACCTTAGTCTTTATAATGACATCTGTGCGCTCTGGCACTTTGGCGAGGTTCTTGACAGCAGAGTTGCCCAGTGCAGTGTGTCCTTTGATTTCTGACCGCTGCTACTATGGGTGCTGACTATGGATCCAAGTAAAAGGAAATGTTGGCAGCTTCATACTTTTCAGCATCTTCATTGTAACCAGATCCCTGGGTGGACCTTCTGTCTTTGTAACAAGCACTTGGGAATCTTGTTACAATGTAGACTCTGGTTCTGCATCTCTGGGGTGGAAATGCAAAGCCCTCGTTGACCATACAGGGTGCTGATGTCTTGGACCTTTTAGAGTCCTGTTTGAGTGACTAAATCTCTTTGGAGAGGCCACATCCCATCCAGTAACCATGGGGACACCCTCTCAGAGCAGCCTGGTTACCAAGGATCCCAACTCCAGTCCTCTTGGCCTCTCTAGAAAGCCTCAGACGTGGCTTATGTCCTGGGCAGTCATCTTTTTCTTGTGTAGTGCCCCCCCCCAATCCAGGGCTCTGGACTTGGGTGCCATGCTGTACCAGCCCTGTCGAGTGTGTCACCTACGCTGTCCCTATGTCCTCCAGAACCCTGCAGTGTTCCCTCCAGTGTATACAGAGGACCATCGAGGCCAAGGGATGGAGGAGTAGTCTTTGCCCTCCAGAACCCCGCAGTGTTCTCTCCAGTGTACACAGAGGACCATCCAGGCTGGGGGTCAGGGGCAGCAGACTGTGTCCCCCCCAAACTCTGCAGTGCTCCCTCCAGTGTATCCAGAGGGCCATCGAGGCTGGGAGGGGGGCGGGAGGTGGCTGTGCCATTGCTCAGGGGCACCCAGCCAGCAGGGGTGACTGCTTGAGATAAGCTTTCCTTCAGGGATGGTAGAACATTCTGGAAGTGGTAGTCTGGTGATGGCTGCTCACCTCTGTGAATGTGTGGGAAATCACCACTCTCAAACTTTAGACGAGGGAAGTTGTACTGTGTGTGATGATATCTCAGTGGAGTTTTTACCAAAAATAGACGGCAAAAGACACACACACAGAGACAGAAAGATATTGAGATAGAGAGAGAGACAGAAAGATACAGGGGGAGAGAGACGGAGAAAAAGAGAGAAACAGAAGGAAAAAGAGAGAGAGTGGGGGGGGGAGAGATAAAGATATATACAGAGAGGGAGGGACAGAAAAGGAGGAGGGGAGGCAAAGGGGGTGTCTGCCAGGGAGAGAATGACAGAGGGGAGCAGCAGAGACACAGAGAGATAGAGAGACAGAGAGAGGGAGAGAAGAGAGGTGTGTTCAAAGCCTGGACCACAGCCACCGGTTGTCACTCCTAGACGGCTAGCCTCAATGGTCACCTCCTGGACCACAGGCCTCTGCTGTCTGACTCAAGTCCAGGGAGTGCCTAGGATTCTGCAGGTCCCCAGGAGGTGCTGTTTTGGGTCATTTGGGGGGACCACTCACTGCTTCCTCCCACACCCACCCAGCCGGCTGGTCAGCAGCAGGACCAGACACCCACCTCCTCCCCAGGCTCTGGGCCAGGAGCTGACCAGCAGAGCCAGCAGGGAACGGTGACGGACAGGGGAGGACGGTCCTTTCAATGACACAGGACATACAGACAGCCTGGGGTGGGGCGGTGAAGGGGCACCCACAGCCCGAGAAGAGGCTCACTGGCCAGGGCCACTCCCAGCACAGCGGGGGGTATCAAGCGTGCTGTCTTGATTTACTCTCAGGGCCTGGAACTGCATAGTCTTTTTATATATGTGTGAATGTATATATGCAAATATATGTACGATGTTGGGGAATTAACGTTTGCAGTATTTTTACTAAGCAAAGCTGTGGGAGCCCCTTGGGGGGAATGTCCGTGGGCAGGCTAGCACCGCGGAGGGAGGGCCCTGGTTCCAGGCTGGGTTCCGAGTGGCCATGGGGTGGGTGGCCCATCTCTAGAGAAGATCTTGGCCTAGTGGAGACACAGAGTGATGACCGAGAGGGGTCAGTGGCCGACGCTGTGAGGGTCTCGCAGGTGGTGGTGATGTCAGGGGAAGGGATGTCCACACGTGCTACCTCAGGGCGGAATGGCCCAGCCACACTGCTCCACGCTGGTCCCAGGTGTCTGTGAAGACCACTCAGTCCAGGCCCGGTGTCCAAAGAGTGGACAGGCAGACCCAGGGGCTATGTCACCACCCCCAGCAGACAGGGACAAAGTGCCAGGCCGGGTCGGCCGGGCAGATGTCCCTCAATGCATGCCTCAGCCCTGTAACATTGGGCCCGTGGAGTGGCCAGCAGAACCAGGGTCACTGAGTAGATGGCTGGACAGTGGTGGGCTGGGTGGTTCTAGGGCCAGACATGAAGTCACAGTGTGTTTCTCAGGGCCACATGGGCAGGGATGACTTTGGCGGCCTGTAATCATGCCCCCTGGGTGTTGTGTCCCTGAGGCTGGGCCTCCCTCGGGCTGGAGGAAGTGTATTAACAGTGGGGGTGGACCCCTGTTGCAGCCTGTCCACTGGGGACAGGACACCTCAAGCGTCCCACAGCCGTGCATGGGTGGGGCAGCATGCAGGGTCCCCTTCATGGCTACCCCGAGGAGCATGTCCACACTCCTGTGCAGGGGCTGAGGTCCCATCCAGGTGGACACAGCTGCCCTCTGTGTGGTCATGAGGGCCCAGCCCCAATATCCAGGACATTCCCTGGCTGTGGGGCCACTTTCTCCTTCTAAGTTGCTGGCCTGCCGGCTCCTGGACAGGTTGGTGAAGCCAGTGGACAATGAGTGGGATGTCCGAGGGCCTGTGATGGACTCTGGGGGCTAGGACCCAGGACGCAGGTGGCCCTTGCTGGGTGGGTGGAGGGGGGCTATGTCTCCTGTCCTGTCAGCCCCCCCCCAGGAGTGAGTAGCATGGGCCGGGGCCTCGGCTGGGCAAGTGGACACCATGGTAGGGGTGCTGTCTTGGGGACTGGCCAGGCTCCCCTCGAGATTCTGACGAGTGGCCTCAGATGATGTCTACTCTGAGGTCCCACAGCACGTGTCCTGGTGTCGTGTCGTGGCTGGCCGGCCCCGGGGTGTCAGGGTGGACGGTGGCCCCTCACCCACCCAGCTCACTCGAGTCCACGTGGGTTAGCACTGGCCGGGCCGTGGGGCCTCAGTCCACACCCGGTCTCAAAGACGTCTCCAGTGCCTTCTCTGCACAGCCTTCCACGGGCAGGCAGGGCTGCTTCTCTGTACCAGGGCCTGGCCATACGTGGACTGTCCTCCATCCTGGCCAGCTCTCAGGTATGTCAGGAAGCCAGCAGGTCCGTGGCTGGGCAGAGCTCGAGATGGGGGATGCAGCACTGTCTTGGGCTGTGAGGGTCAGTGTGGTGGGCTGGTGTGGTGCTCCTGCTGCCCTGTATCCTCACCGCCTCTCTCTGTCCCCCCAGGACCTCTCACTCCCGGGCCAAGGCCGAGGCCGCGCTGACGGCGGCCCAGAAGGCCCAGGAGGAAGCGCGGATCGCCAGGATCACTGCCAAAGAGTTCTCACCGTCCTTCCAGCACCGGGAGAATGGTGAGGGCCGGTGGGCACGGAGGGGAGGGGTGTGTGTGGGAGGCCCAAGGGAGGGCGGGGGGGGGCGAAGGGTCGGCGAGGGCATCGAAGGGAGGGCCAGGGAGGGTCCAGAGAGCACTGAGGGTGCCGAGATGAGAGACATGGGGGGGAGGCCCAAGGAAGGGCAGGGGCGGGGAGGGCTGGCGGGTACTGAGGAGAGGGCTGGAGAGGGCCAGGGAGTGTGGAGGGGAGGGTCAGGGAGGGAAGAGTCAGAGGGTGCCGAGGGGAGGGCCGGGGAGGGTTGGAGAGGGCCAGGGAGGGCCGAGGGGAGGGTCAGAAGGCACCGAGGGGAGGGCCGGGGAGGGCTGAGGGGAGGGCTGGAGGGTGCCGAGGGGCCGGCGGGCAGTGGTGTGGACACCTGCCCGTGCTGTCCCCCTCCCCGCCCTTCCCACACGGTTCTGGAGCTCAGTGGCGATGAGTGGTAGCAGGGAAGGCCGTGTGAGTGGCTGAAGTGCTCCTTTCACTCAGTTCCACTGTGTTAACTGTAGACACAGAAGCTCTGCACACCTGAGGGCTTCAGTGAGGTGGTGCCTGTGTCTTCTGGAGGGGCCGGAAGGTGCTGGGAGCCACTGGCAGTCAGAGTGATAAAGGGCGTCCTTCCTCCGGGGACCCCTCCCCGGGCGGGCTCTGCCTGAGTCCTGGCTCTGTGCTGTGTGTCACGCTCTATGACACTCCACTCAGCTCTATTCACTCGGCTCCAGTCAGTGAAGGGTGGTGATGGATTGTGGCATGGGCCTGGGGGCCAGTGGGTTTCCCCAGAGCTCAGGAGCACTGATGTTTGTAGCCCACCTGGTGGCCCCGGCTGTCCATGCAGCCACAGCTCAATCTCAGGTCGAGGGCTGGGACTAGGATCAGAGAGCAGGCTGGTTAGGCCCCCCCTGGACCCTCTGCATTGGTCTTCCCTGTGTGTCCTGTCATGGTCGCTGCTGCTCCAGCCAGGCCGGGGCTGGGGCCTGAAGAGGACTGGCCCCTCTGGCCTGTGTCTCCCAGCCTCACCCACTCTGGCCTCAGGCTGCCCTCACCATGGACGAGGCTCTCACTCGCATCCTGTGGACCCTCTGAGGGGCCAGCCTCATGCTGGATTTGTCTTCCCACGAGGGCCTTTTCTGTCCCTCACCTGCTGTCATGCTATCCAGGGCTTGAAATGCGGTTCCACGTGGGGAAGAGGAAATGGAGCTGGTGTACAGGGTGGCGGGGTCTCCCTGCAGCCTCACGGCCAGCGTGGTGACCATCTTGACAGCTGGGTTGACGAGTGGTCCACAGGCTGGGGCCTCGGTGGAACAGGACAGACGTGGTGGGACGCAGTGAGGGCCTGGCCTGGGCCAGCTCCTCAGCCAGCAGGATTCTGCTGGGGAGAACCGTCCACCGCTGACTCAGGGGACCCCGGCGGGCAGCCGCATGCAGCCCTGTGGGGTGTCGGGACCTGCGGAGCTCCAGGCCAGCTAGGGGCAGCTCCTGTGACCAGAAGTACTGTGGCCACAGCCGAGTATTTCCTAGAGGGGAGGGCGCCTGAGCTCACTCTTGGGCCCTGGGTCATGTGAGCCCTCAGGAGAGCCAGTCCTGGAGGAGGACAGCAGGCTCAGGACAGCAGGGGGGGTCAGTAAGCCGGAGGTGGGCCCTTGCTGGATGCACTGGGACAGTGGCTGCAGCAATAGGCTCGGACACAGAGAGCCAGGGAGGAGGGGGACACAGAGAGCCAGGGAGGAGGGGACAGGACCGAGCAGTGTCCCCACCTGCGTTCAGGGTCCTGTCAGCCAACATAGTGACATCCAGCGACCCTGTCCCCTTCTCGGGCACTGACTGAGTGCGGCCTCCAAACACACTGACCAACAGGGAGATGTGGCTGCGAGGTCCTGGGGCTGGACCTGGGCTCTGGAACACCCTGAAGAGACTCAGCCCACAGGGGCATGTTGGGGCCTCCTCTGGCCCCAGGCCTCAGTGCACCAGTGACCACCCCGTGCTTCTGTCCCTCTCAAGGGCTCGAGTGCCAGCGGCCGAAACACCGGAGCTCGAGCGAGGACCTGGAGGTGGCTTCGGCAGGGACGCCCCTGCCACCGGAGAGCCCCGAGCTGTACCGGAAGGGAACCACGCCCTCGGACCTGACCCCCGACGACAGCCCCCTGCAGAGCCTCCCCACCAGCCCATCTGCCAGCCCACCGGCCCCCACCGCCCGGAACAAGATGGCCCACTTTTCCCGCCAGCTGTCGGTGGACGAGGAACGGGACATCCAGGTGCTGCTGGAGGGCCGGGGCGGGGACTGCGCCCGCAACAGCTGGGCTGACGACAAGGCTGGGGGCCCGAGGGGCGGCCGGGGTGCCACACGAGGCGGCCAGCTGACAGACGACCACCGTGCCCGGGGCCCCGGCCACAGGCAGCCTGGCAACCCCCGGCCCCGGGAGCGACGGACGGAGTCGCCCCCTGCCTTTACGTGGACTTCCCACCCGCGGGCCGGCAACCCCGGCTGTGGGGGCAGCGCGCTGATGGCACTGGACGAGGAACGGCTGAGCAGCTACGAGATGGAGATGAAGCCGCTGCTGCGGGTGGACGCGGCCTCGCAGGACGCCCACCCCCAGAAGAGACGCTACGGCAAGGGGTGCGCGGGCCGGGGCGCGGCAGAGGAGCGGGCCTTTGGGGCTCAGCGGCCGCGAGCCCGCGCACAGAACAAGGAGAACGTGCGGCCGCCCGGGGAGCCCGCGGTGCAGAAGCTGGAGAGCCTGCGCCTGGGCGCAGACAAGGCCGAGCCGCGCCTGCTGCGCTGGGACCTCACCTTCTCCCCGCCGCAGAAGTCCCTGCCGCTGGCCCTGGAGTCGGACGAGGAGACTGGGGACGAGCTCAAGTCCAGTGCGGTGAGTGCCTGGCCGGCTCAGGGGGCCTCTGGGTGGCCAGGTGGCCTGGGGTCCCCCACATGTGGGGACAGAGCCGGGGGACGTGACCAAGGACAGCAGGGGCAGCAGCACCAGGCCGGCTGTGCTCAGGGGTGTGACCAGGGCTGTGGTGGCTCCGGCCTGGCCTCCACCCCATGCTGGACACAAGATGCGAACCGGACTTGATTGTCCTTAGACAGAGCAGTACGGGTGCCCCTGCTTGGTCCTCCAGGGGTCGAAGTGGCCCCAGAGAGCTGGTGGACTGCTGACTTGTGTGTCACTGCGTGGAGACCATGTGCTTGTCACAGAGGTCGGAGTCCCTTCCCAGGATTCTCCCCACACGCTCAGAGGGAAGCCTGTGTTCCCAGCATGCACTTCCCTCACCATCATCATGACAGCACATGTGCGTGTGTGTCCTCTGCGTGTGTGTAGTGTGGTCTGTATACATGTGTGCACACACAGTCCCTGTGGTGTGTGTGTTGTGTTTACACATGTGTGTGCTAAAGGAATGTGGCCTGTGTGTTAATGTGTTTGTCCCTCTAGGAGGTGGATTGATTCAGTGACTGGGGTAATCGGGATGGGTGTGTCGGAGACGGTGTGATTGGCACAGGACAGAGCAGGGTTTAGGGCTGTTGTACAGAGGGTCGCTATGAGTCGCAAATGATTCGACGGCACATAACAACAACAACAACATGGATATATACATATGTGCTGTGTGTCTACATGTTTTCATATGTTGTGTGAATATGTGTTCCCTGTATGTCTGTGGTATGTGTGTCACATGTATTGTGTGAGGTCATGCGCATGTGTGTCCTCTGCCTGCATGTGGTCTGTGTATGTACATGTGTGTATGCAGCTTCTGTGCTCACACTTGTCATCTGTGTACATGTGATTTGCTCATGCATGTATGTGCACACGTGTGCTCTTTTCACCTGTGAGACGTGTTAACAGTGTGTGGCATAGGTGTTCCCTGCCTGCATGTGGCCTGTGCGTCCACATGAGACATGTGTGCAAGAATGTGTCTATGTGTGCAGTCTACATGTGCTTGCTGTGTGTGACATGTCCATCCTATGTGATGTGTGTGCATGTGCCTTGTATGCACCCTTGTTATCTGTGTACATATGATGTGTTCAGGCATGCACGTCCACACACGTGCTCTTTGCACAACTGTGGTGTGCATCCTCACCTACACTGTCTGTGGCATCTATGTTCTCTACAGGCCTGTGTTGTGGCATGCACACATATGTCACATGTGATATGTGTGCGCTGGTGTGCTTTCTGCATGTGATCGCCGTGTGTGGTGTATGTGCACGTGTGTGATGTGTGTGCCTGTGCTCACCGTGTGTGGCATGCGTGCACATGTGTGATGGGTGGGCATGTGATCTCTGCACAGCGTGCATGCACGTGTGTGATGTGTGGGCCTGTGCTCGCTGTGTGCTGCATGCGTGCACGTGTGTGATGGGTGGGCATGTGATCTCTGCGTGCAGCGTGCATGCACATGTGTGATGTGTGGGCCTGTGCTCGCTGTGTCCTACGTGCATGCACGTGTGTGATGTGTGGGCATGTGCTCGCTGTGTGTGGCGTGCGTGCATGTGTGTGATGTGTGTGCATGTGATCTCTGTGTGCAGTGTGCGTGCACACGTGTGCCATGTGGGCATGTGCTCACTGTGTGCTGCGTGCGTGCACGTGTGTGATGGGTGTGCATGTCCACACAGAGCCCTGTGAGCTTGCTGGCCGCTCATGTGCTTGTCAGCCGTCTTCCCCGGACAACCAGCCATGCTGTCCTCTGCACCTTTTCAGCTGAGTTGCTTTTCTGTTGAAGAGATGCACTCTGGAGACTCAAGTCCTTGAACAGATGAGTGATGTGTGAACTTTGTCATTTCATGGGTTGTCTTCATTTCCATGTTGAGAAGATCACATTCACCTGTCTCGTTTCTGTGTCTCTCGTCATCTGGATTCGGCTCCCCTCTGATGACCATTCTCAGGCATGCAGGACACTCTCACTCTCTTTCTGATGACCACTGTCAGACATGAAGGACACTTCTCACTTTCTCTCTGATGACTGTTCACCAGTGGGCAGGACCCTCTCTCTGGTGACCACTTTCAGACATGCAGGTCCTCTCTCTCTCTTCCCTCCCCCTCCCTTTTCCTCCCTCCCCCCTCTCATTCTCTCTCCCCCCCCCATTCCCACTCTCCAATATGAAGGACTTCTCTCTGATGGGTATTGTCTTGCATGCCTGGTCTCTGGACAGCGATGGGGCCTGGCTGGAGATGAGATCTCTGTCCAGACTGAGATGCTGAAACCACAGCCTGGATCAGGGTGGCCCCTCGGGTCTGCAGCAAGGACTTGGGAGCACTCTCACTCTCCCTTCTTCTTGGAGGGGTGCATAGGAGCTGCTTTCTGCCCGGAAGACAGGGTTTACTGATGTGAGTGTCACGGTTGATGCTGTGTAGATCAGGCCCTGGCCTGCAGGTCTTTCTGGAGAAATAGGAATAAGGCCGGTGGCCAGGAATGGTGGCCTCTGTCCAGGGCAGTCTCCTCCTGGAAGCTGGTCACAGGGTACAGGGAGGAACAAGCAAGGTGGTGAGGCTGCCTACCCACTGTGCCTTGGGGACATTTTTCTCTCATGAGACCATTCTACAGATGCTGGCCATGGACCTGAGACCAGCAAGGTGGGCAGTAGCCCTAAATGGGTCATCTTGGTGGCTGTGAATGAAAAGTTCAGGCTGTGGTGACTGGAGACAGCCCTGGTCCACCCTGGACACTTGGAGAGTCCACGGTGGTTACAGTCACTGGGGCCCAGACTGGCTGGGCACACTCACGTCCTGTGGACCACCACCACTGCTTGTCCCTGCCTACCCAGTAATGCACAGCTGGGTTCCCAGGGCCCGCCTCACTGCCTCTGACCAGCCTTCCAGCCTGGAGCTGCTCTGAGGCCCACCCATCCACCTCTGCAGGGAGAGGAGGCCTTCTGCTGGTGACCCAACCTCACAGCACCAGTCGAGACCTCACGGTCGGCCTGCCTGGGGCCTGTGGCTTGGAGACCTCACGGTCGGCCTGCCCGGGGCCTGTGGCCTGGAGACCTTACGGTCGGCCTGCCCGGGGCCTGTGGCCTGGAGACCTGTCCTCCCTGTTGACTGAGTGCAGAGGGCCTTGCCCGAGAGCCGTGTCCATGGCAGGACACCCATCTGCAGTCGGTCTCCCCCCCCCCAAACCCCCACTGCAGGCCCCATGGGCTCAGGGAGCAGCAGAAAGCTGATAGGCCCCTGGAGGAGTCCTGGGCCCCCACGCAGTGCAGATAATCTCTGTGTTGTGTCTAGGCGGTTGCCCTGATTCTCAGGCCAGATCCTGGAGGACAGGGACCAGCCCCAGGCCATCCGGAGCCTGGACTGGCTGGCCGGAAAACTGCTCTGTGGGGACGGAAGGGGGTGGTCACACCGATGCCTCTGCCCTTCACCGGCCCAGGCAGCTCCAGCTGGCCCCTCTCCTTTTCTGGGTTATGAGGGCTTGAAAATTCTAAGGACTCATTCGTTCCACCCTGACTGTCTCTCGTTGTTGTGGACCGTTGGGTGGAAACAGACTCACAGCTGATCCTCCAGTGGGTCTTCAGAGGCTGTAAACTGCATGCAAGGAAATGGCCCATCTTTCACAGAGCTGCTGGTGGATTCGAACCACGTGCCTTTGGATTGGCAGCACGGCGCGCGCCGGAGCTCTGCCCTGTCCCCCGCCCCGGGAATTCCCAGCTGAACCGAAGGCAAAGCAGCCATGTGGGGCCCGTCCAGTCTCCCGCGGGGTCTCCCCTTGGAGTCTCCCGCAGGGTCAGGGTCTCCCGCAGGGTCAGGGTCAGCGTCAGGGTCTCACGTGGGGTCTCCCTCGGGGTCTCCCGCAGGGTCAGGGTCAGCGTCAGGGCCCGGGCTGTGTGTATCAGGAGCTCTTCTCCGGGAGCCTGACGCGCTGGTCCTGGGGACGCGGGTTGCCAGCCCTCGCCTCTCAGGCGCCTCTGTGCGACCCTGGGTTTCTGGGAAGCGGGTGGGGTCGGGGTTCAGACTCTGGCGCCCCTGACCTGGCTCTCTCTCCCCCAGGGCTCGGCGCCAATCCTGGTTGCCATGGTGATCCTGCTCAACATCGGAGTTGCCATTTTGTTTATTAACTTTTTCATCTGACAATACTGTCGTGTTAGCAAAAAATGACAGTCCGTGTACAAAAGGGGAGCGGAGCAGACGGCGAGGGGCAGCGTCGGCCCGAGTCCCACGCCCCTCCCGAGTCTTCACAGAACACGATGGGGTATTACTCACAGTTTGCCTTTTTTTCTGGGTAATGTTTTTTGGATTTTAGCCAAAAGTCTTTGCTTGTATACAGTTCGCTGTGTGGCATGGCAGACGGGGCCGTGCGTCCATCTCCCGGCGGACACGGGACGAGAAGGGACCCTGCAAAGAACACAAAGCCCCCTCACCGTCCTCAGCACCACGCCACGGTCCCGGGGTGCAGAGCCACGGCCCCTGTTGTGCACACGCGTGTGTCGCACTCGTGGTCCTGGGATGGTGGGGGACAAGGACAGGGAGGCGTGGGGGGGTCCTGGAGGAGGGCCGCCTCAGCACTGCCCCTTGGCTTCCTGGAGAAGCCGACCCCGCACTGCGTCCGTCCTGTCCGGCGAGGTAGCGTCCCCCCTCCCTGGTGTCCATGGTGACCCCATGTGCCTCTCCCATCCCGCCATGTCTGGGGAGGCTGGGATGCAGCGTCCGGGCCAGGCAGGCCGCCCTGGCAGGACCGAGAGGTGACCCGAGGCTGGGCCAGAGGGGGTCACTGAGGCCCCCCCATGTCACGCTTGGGCTCCAAGCATGTTTGCACTTTGACAGCAGGACGCACACTCAGGCTTCCCCGTGCCCCCCGTACGGCATTGCCGGTGACAGCCCTTGGAGGACCCCCTTCCTCCTCGGGGTGCCACGCCCCCGTGTTGGCCCCCTCAGCCACCCTCGCCTGATAGCCCATCCACGGGTGTGCACACTCCTAGGACCTCAAGTCTCCAGAGCGGGGCTGGGGGAGGGATGGGGCTCCAACTCGGAGAATGGGAAGGTCCCAGGTAACTGTTGCACCCCACCCATGGTCCCCCCAGATTGTACACCCGGCCCCTCGTGTTTCTGCCTCCCCCATGTCGGGGGCCTTCCCCCAGCAGAGGATGAGGACGCGAGGGGATGATGCCGAGGGCCTGGCCCGGGGCGGTGTGTCCGGCCCCCCCGCGGGGCGCCCGCCCGTGGACCCCAACTCGGGCGTCGGGGGCACAGCCTTGCTTTGCTTACCTTAGCTCTCTGCTGACTTTGAAGCAGATTTCTTTAATACACTGCACTGGATTGCTATATTTTTAACCAGAAATAAACTCAAGATTAGAGCATGTTCCCGGCCCTCCTGTTGTTTGCTTGCCTGTGTTGATGGCTCACCCCAGCTCCTCCTCCTGCTGGGGGAGCCTCTGGGGGCGAGAGGGGGGACCCCCGGTCCAGCTCTCCAGGGCTGGCTATGACTTTCCCGTTGCTCGTTTTGATACCGACGTGAGCAAGCCATGCTGCGTGCATCTCAGCGTCCTCCACACGGGGATGCGGGTGCTCGGCCTGCCTTGTGCGGCCTTCGCAAGGACAGGGGGCTCGTCTGTTGGACCCTCAGGGGACTGCATGGCCCAGGACACAGCCCCACGAGGCAAGGTCCGTTCTTGGCAGATTCCATGAAGTGTCAGCCGTCAGAGATACCACACGACATGTCCCCTTAATGTCGCGCGAGGCGTCTCCTGACTGGGGGCTCCCGCTGGCCCCCGGCCACCTGCCGGAGCCAGAAGGGAAGAGACAAGCCTTGCCCCGTGGGAGGGCCAGTGGCGCTGTGTTTGACATATCCCACTGCTTACAGAGAGGTTGGCGGTTCAAACCAACCAGTGGCAGTGCTGGACAAACGCGGCTCCTGGGAAGATGGCAGCGCGGTAGACCCGGGAGCAGTCTGACTGCCGTGTGAGCTTGAAGGAGTCGGATCAGCGCAAAGGCTGTCAGGTTACGAAGTCCTGCTGGTGCAGAGGGGACGGTGTTCAGTTGCTGGCAGAAAGGCTCAGGGTTCAAGACCACCAGTGTGTCCATGTGAGGAAGATGTGTCATCTGCTTCTGTGAGGACAGCCAGCCTTGGAAAGCTTCCCAGGCAGCGCTGCGGGGGTAGGACAGGCCCACAGCGGTGGGTTCAGGCTCAGGTCACCATGAGGAGAGCACTGGCTGCGGACGGGAAGCCCAGGAGCGCTCTGGGCACATCCCCTCTGCTGGGCCACTGTGTGTGGGCACGGACGTCATGGCACCTACCTGTGCATGAAGGACATGGGCGGGCTCCACGGAGACTGGACTGACCTGGGCCTCAGGCTCTGCGGGTGGATTTTTAATTGGTCCCCAGGGAAGGCAGTGACATCCCCAGTGACTGCTCAGTCTCCTTTGGCTGACACCTTCCTCAGCTTCATGATGCACCTGTGGGCCTGTCTCCTGGCTGGTGTCAGGCATCTTGTCCTGCCAGGCATGCCCCCTCTGCCCTGTGTCAGGGCCCCTCCATGTCCCCGGCATCAGAGCCCCTTCCTCCCCAGTGCCCGGGCTCCTCCCCCCAGTGCCCGGGCTCCTCCCCCCAGTGCCCGGGCTCCTCCTCCAGTGTCTGGGCTCCTCCCCCCAGTGCCCGGGCTCCTCCCCCCAGTGTCCGGGCTCCTCCCCCAGTGCCCGGGCTCCTCCCCCCAGTGCCCGGGCTCCTCCTCCAGTGTCCGGGCTCCTCCCCCCAGTGCCTGGGCTCCTCCCCCCAGTGCCTGGGCTCCTCCCCCAGTGCCCGGGCTCCTCCCCCCAGTGCCCGGGCTCCTCCCCCCAGTGCCTGGGCTCCTCCCCCAGTGTCCGGGCTCCTCCCCCAGTGCCCGGGCTCCTCCTCCAGTGTCCGGGCTCCTCCCCCAGTGCCCGGGCTCCTCCCCCCAGTGCCCCGGGCTCCTCCCCCAGTTTCCCGGGCTCCTCCCCCAGTTTCCCGGGCTCCTCCCCCCAGTGCCTGGGCTCCTCCCTCCAGTGCCCGGGCTCCTCCCCCAGTTTCCCGGGTTCCTCCCCCAGTGCCCGGGCTTCCTCTGCTGAGCACCAGGCACCTTCCTCCACAGCATGTAGCTGGCCTATGGCAACCTGGGGTGACAGGGGTGCTGAGGCCGTCAGGACCCTGGTGCAGAGGGCTGACTGCGGAGGCTCTGCGGGTCTCGACCAATCCAAGCAGCCTTGTTGGGACCATGTTTTCTAGGCCCTGGATGTAAGAATCTGCGGCACAGAGCACGTGAAGCACGGGCTGAGGCCTCGGCTGGCACTCCTGCCAGGTACACTTCACCACCTGTGCTGACGCCGGGCCTGCCCTGGCACGGGGTCCTGGCCAAGCCCTGTGCCCTCCACTTCCCACCTTCCCTGGCGCTGAGACCTAGTCAGGACCGGGTCCCTGGGTTTCCAAGCTGGGTCATTTTAGGGGCTGGGCCGGCTGCCTCGCTGTCTGATGTCAGGTGATCATTGGCACACAGGGGTCCCAAAGATCCAGTCTGAGTGTGCACTCCAAATGATGGTGCAGAGAGGGAGGCCTGGGGTGGCCACGGAAATGGGGGGAGGTCCCCAGCAGGCGGAGCTGACTCACCACCTGCAGCCACAGCCAAGTGTCCCTGCCCACGGCATCTCTCTCAGCCCCGTTTTGCAGCTGCGGGCACTCGTGCACACTGCCCGAGACAGCGACTTTGTGCACACGCTGACCTCCGGTCTCCCTGGTGATGTGGGGAGTGAGGCCAGGGCCGCCCCCCCTCAGGGGGCTGGGGACCTTCTGGACAGTGTGCCCGATCAGACCCCAAGAAATGACACGTCAGGAGTCTCTGCTTGGGGGTGAACAGAATTTTGTTTGCGTGCTTGGGGCTTCAATTACTTTTCTCAGGAGATGCCCTCCGTGGCTGGGAGAAGGCTGGGCCCAGCTGCCCCTCGGACCACGCCATCATGACGCCAATGCGTCTCCCTCCCGGGGCTGTGTCAGTGTAACACACGGGCCCCGCTGGTCCCCCACATGGCCTGGTGGGACGTTATTGCGTTGGTTCAGTTGGGCAGTGACTTTTACCCAGTCAGGAGGTCCAGGGGGACCCCCTCAGGCCCACCATCAGCCTGTCCTGTTCTGTTTGCTCCCTGCTGTGTGGTATCAGGCACCGGCTGATGGAGGCACTTCCTCCTGTAGCTGCCCCCCTGTGGTGACAGCTGACCTTCGTCCTGGCGCTGAGATGACACCAAGTCATCATCTCCAGTCTCAATGTTTTCATGTTGGGCAGATCGTAACAGTGAGGTGGCAGGGACGAAATAAGGTTCTGGTCAGAAGTGCGGTTCCGAGTGTCTGCTCTGCCACTGTCCTGGAGTGGGGGTCGGGGGTGCTATGCTGACCTGGAGGGGCCACGGTCCTAGAGGGGGGGGTCAATGGCCTGCTGATGATCTGGAGGGGCCACAGTCCTAGGGGGACACACTGCTACCCTGGCGGGGCCATGGTCAGTCATGAGGGGGCAATGCCCTGCAGCTGACCTGTGGGGCCATGGTGCTCGGGCACCCTGCTGGCCCAGTGGGGTCATGGGGTAAGTGGTCCTGAGAGGCACCTCCAGCTGAGAATGGCTCCAGCCTTTGTCCTGGGAAATACACTGAGCTTTCACCCTATGCCTGTGTGTCCAGAGATGTGCCCGGACAGGCACCTGGGGCCTGAGAGGTGCAGGCATGAGGCTAGAAGGCGCAGGCTGTCCCCAGAACTGGGCCGACAAGCTGAGAGGCTGGCCTGGCAGGGATAGCCATGGAGGACAGACAGGCAGGCAACTGGCCTTGGCCCCTCTGGCCAGGGAGTGGGGATGGTGGACGGTTCTAGACATATGAGGACAGTCACCATTTAGGGACTGTTTCTGCACGAACCTGAGTGGTTGTGTCTGAGGACAATGTGGGGTGGACACCATGTTCCCAAGCGAGAGAAGCAGGCAGCCCTGGTGGCACAGATGTGGGTGGGTGTCTCATTGCCATGCGCCCAAATTGTGGGCTCCCAGGTGGGGATGGAGATGGAGGGGTGGAGTCTGACTGGGTGACGCCCAGTCCGTCCATCCCAGGTGGGGATGGAGATGGGCTGTGGGTCTGAGTAGTGCGATGCTCCTGGGGGGTGGGGGTGGGGGGATCTTCTTTTTTGCCGAAGATCAAGGACTACAGCCCTCAATGAGTTACACAACATCAACAAAGTAAAACCTCTCACCACCAGATCGATTGGTAAAGCATCACCACACAGGAGAGAAGTGGCCAAAGGCTTCACTTTGCCTAAATCCACATGCGGGAGCCGCAGCCTGGCCAGCCCTCTTCCAGGTGGACCACGAAGGGCAATGACCGGGTGCCAGGAAGGGGGTGCTGCAGGTGGCGTCAGTGAGGACTCGCCACTCCTGTGAACAGACCAGAGCCCTGCGTGTCCTGCGTGGGTCTCACCATTGCTGTCACAGTCCCTGTGTCAGTCCACCTCGTTGAGTCCTCTGCTGACTGCCTCCCCCCACGTTTTCCTAAGGACAGAGCCCTCCTGACAGGCCCCACGTATGGGAGATGAAGTTTGGCCATCCTCACCTGTAAGGAGCACCCTGGTGGCATTTCCTCTGAGAAAGCTTTGTCCTTGTGGCGTCCATGGACCCTCAGACCCTCAGTTCTCTTCACCAACCCCTGGCTCTGAGGCTAGCCCCAGGCTGCCTCCTCTGATGGGCTAGCCCTGTGGCCAGACCCTGAGACCTGTGCTTCAGTCTGGGACAGGCTGAGCTCTGTGCTCCAGTGACCAAGTGAGGTTCCTCAGGGGAGGTCATTCTCTGTGCCCGAGATGGCCCTTGTGCGGGGAGGTCAGGCTGTGTCAGAGCCAGCGACTGAGGCGGTGAGGCCCTGTGCCTGAGGCCGGCCATTCCCGTCCCAGCCTGCGAGGTGGTGCCGGGGTCTGGTCCTCTACTCCTGTCACACCGTAGGACCACGCAGCTTTCTGGGCCTTTCTTCCAGCCTGATCACACAGTCTGAAAGGACAGCTGACTGGACACTGACCCTGAGTGACAATGACATTGCTGAGAGCCAAGGCTGGCTCCCCTCCCGGCTGAGTCATCAAAAGAGCACTGCCAGGAAGGAGGGCAGTTCCCCAAACAAGAGGGGGTCCCCAAGCTCTGGGATCAGGGGTGACCTCTGGCTGCTCCTCTTGGGGGCTCTGAAGGCAGACAGGTAACCTCTCAGGCAAAGCACCAGGTCCTCAGTCCCAGCACCCCGCTCATACTGTGGCTTCATCTGCATCTACAACTGGTGCCCTGCGTGGGGCTGGACCCACGGGGACTGGGCACGTTGGCCCTGTGCCCACACTTGCCGAGGAACCCCACTGGTGTGGCTTGAGTGAGGACAAGGACCCATGTGACTGTGCACTCGGGCGAGCTCACTCCACCCACAGCGCTGCCCCACAGGCCTGTCCTTCCCGTGGAGCTGTGTGAATGGTGGGTGCAGCACCAGGACCACCTGGGTGTCCTTGTGGGTGTGGTGGCCACTATGGGGGTAGAGAAGGTAGCAGCAGCTTAAGCCCCCAGGTCTAGCACCAGTGGTCACTGGCATGTGGATTGACTGTGGTGGAGCCTGTAGGCCTGAGGGAACGTCACTCAGTTTTGCGGACACTTTGGGAGGACTGAAGACAGTGGCCTGTAACGGGAGCTCCATTATACACTGCCCGCCATCTCTCACTCCGACCACGCCCTGGCTGGGACAACCCCTGGGAGAAAGGACTACAAAGGTGACCCCCCCATCCCCCAGTGAGAACAAGGAAGGGGGCCTGATCCACTGAGGTTTATTCCAGAAGCCACAGGCTCTGCAGGACAGGGTGGTGTGTTCAGTAAGCCTGCAGTGCGAGAGATGGTCCCCAGGTCCCCAAGTGGACCGGTGCTGTCCAGGCATCCAGAGCCGGCGAGGCCCCACACGTCAGGACTGCCACGGGACCCGATGCGGGATGGAGGCAGCGTGGCAGCCCGCTCGTGAGCGTCCAGGTCATTCTGAAGTGCCCACTCAGTCTGACGGCTGTCTTGGGGTGGTGTCTGGCATCGAGCTTTCATAAAACGTCCTGGCCATCGTGTGAGCAGCCCTCAGCACCTTCTTGTCCTTGGCGTTGGGGCCCAGGCCCTCCCGGGCACGTGCTGTCCAGTGGGCCTCGGTCCTGGACACATAGTCCTCAAAGCTCTCTGCATGTTCCACCGGTGGGGACACCTCATCTGTATGGGAGGGGCAGGGACACACTCAGACGGAGGAGGCGCAGGGCATGGCGGGAAGCCCACTGTGAGGACGTGCATGTGAGCTCACCACCTGGGGCCCCGGGACACACGTGACTAAATGCACACCCACACATCATTCCAGGCACTGGGCACACGTGGATGAACGAATGCACTGGGGGGGGGGGGGCAGATGGACGAGGACACACCCCCCCGTGGACAGTCATGGGCACACAAGTCAATGAATGAATGCACTAGGGGGTCAGACAGACGGACAGACGGGGACACACACACCCCCCCTCTGTGGATGATTGCACTAGGGGGGCGAGCAGACGGACCGACAGGGACACACACACACACACACACACACACACAGTACCCCGGTGGACGGTCATGAAATACCACATCTGGCACGCAGGCCCATGGCGCTGGCAGCTGGCTTGGCCTCCTAGCTTTGGGAGCCCGCATCCCCGAGAAGAGGGAGACCTCCCATTCACCTCCTCGCCTCACCTCACCTGCACCTCCTCACGGTCTCCTCACCCCCGTGGGGGGCACCTGTGTCTTCTGTCACGTAGACGCCCCCTCCTGAGTTACCTGCAGTTTCACCCTGTGAGCCCCTCACTGTGTGCGCACTGCACGCCCTGTGTCACCTGAGTCCACCTCACTGTTACCTGCATTTTCAGGTGAGTCACCTGTCCCACCTACTCCTTCCTCCTGGTAAGTCATGTGCATCCTCGTGTCAGATGGACCCTAACCCTGTGGTCATTGGCATATACCTACCTAACCTGTCCTGCACCTTCCTCACGGTGAGAGCTCTCCGTCCTCAGTGGAGCCCCAACCACCCTCACCAGGAGCCACCTGCCCACTCCTCACTCACCTGGGTTCTTTTCAGTGAGACTCACCTGTAGCCTCCCCACAGTGAATTACCTGCTTCTCTCTATCTTCCTGAGATATGCCGCACGCGGCCCACCCTGCCTCACCTGCGTCTCCATGTTACCTGCACGTGGCCCAACCTGCCTCCCGTGTCTCCATGTTACTTGCATGCGGCTTCACCTGCGTGTCCATGCTACCTGCATGCTGCATCACCTGTGATTCCTGAGTGACTGTATCTCCCTAGAGAGCATTACCTGGACCTCCTGGTCAGCTGAGTCACCTGGGCCCACCTGACTGCCATCTGCACCTTCCTTCACTGTGGGTTACCTGCACGACCTCAGTGTTCCCTGTGTCCTCCTCAGGTGGGTGTCCCGTTTTCTCCTTCCTGGGAGTTCTTGGCCTCCTCTTGTAGGTCCCTTTACTGACAGACCTGTGTCCTCACTGTACGTCTCCCTGCACTCACCTTACTGTGCGATCCTCCCTGCTACCTGAACCCATCTGTGAAATCACCTGCGCCTTCCTCACAGTCAGGTCCTTGTACCCTCTTGTGCTCTACGAGTCCTCCTCAGTGTTACCTGCACCATCCGGTGGGAGCTGGGTGTTCCGGGCTCCGTATCGCCTGGCCCTTGCTGTGTCACCTGTGCTGAGCTCTCTCACTCTTACCTGTGCTCTTGTGTGACTCATGGCCTGCTACACTCGGATCCTGTGTATGGCGGGTGTCCACCCGTGTTACCTGGGCCCTCCTGTATACCTGTACCCTCCTATTTTATTTGTGCTTTATTGTGTTACATGGCCCAAGTCATCTGGGCTCTTTTATGCTATCTGGGTTCTTCTAGCTGTTACCTGCATCCTGCTCTGGTACCTGGGTCCTCTAGTATTTTCTGTGGCTATATGTGTTACCTGAGCCCAGCTGTTACCTGAGCCCTGCTGTTACTAAGTCCTCCTACCTCTGTGTCAACTGGGTCCTGCTATGTTACCTGGGTCCAGCTGTGTTACCTATGTCCTACTGTGTGACCTAGGTCCTACTGTGTTACCTGGGTCCTGCTGTTACCTGCTGTGTCCTGTGTCTTGTGTTTCCTGCATCCAGCTGTTCCCTGCGTCCTATGCTGTGTTACCTGCATCCTACTGAGTTACCTGGATCCTGCTATTACCTGCATCCTACCATGTTCTCTGCATCATGCCATATTACCTGTGTCCTGCAGTGTTCCCTGGGTCCTGCGTCTTGGGGTGGTGTCTGGCATCGAGCTTTCATA